TTATAAGAATGCAACTGCTTGGACATTAATTGGAAAACGAAATCCACAATGGCCACAGCTATTTGAACCGATCGGTGCAAATTTGACGATTTCAAATGGTGATCTAATGGCTGCCAGCTGTGTTTTCGACTCCTCAATGCAGAAAACCGTTGTGCATATGGGGTAAAATTTTCATTTACTAGAAAACCAAAGTTGAACAAAATCCTGAAAAATTCGAAATCTCGTATCTTAGCTTTCAAAAAAATTCTCAGTTTTTTCTATTGCCTCTGATGCTAAATATTAGCATAATTAGTTGGATATTATGGTACCAAGATTATTGTGTCTGCCACCAATCGGTGCTTTTTGCAAACCAACAAAGATCACACAGAAACGTAATTCCAACAATACAAAGACTCCTGGACAGTCGGTATGGGAATCCCATGTTAGTGACGTTACTAGGATGCTCCCACACATACCGAGTGCAACTGTGCTTGTTCCTTCGGTCCTAAGCTTCATATCTCCAGCCGAGGGCTATTGTTTGTCTGATTTTTGTACGTAAATTTTTCATGAATGCTTGAGTGGTCGTTTATTTTCTTGCGGTTGCCACTTGCTAATGCAAGAAATCGGTCGGTTATCATCTAAACGATGAGCATACCTTACCTGTAAGATTTTACTTTTTCGAGTGGTCACTTGAAGTAGCCTGATTGTTTATATGGTCATAAATGGCCATCTCAAGCATCCTTTGTTCCATTGCTTTCTTAGTCAAAGCCATCATTCACTCATATTTTCTCGTCACCTACAAGGTTCCACATCCGTGCATCATTGCATTCAGCTTAGCATGAGGCTGTGAAAACAGTGACATTTGCAATAGTATGGAAAATTTCATGCGAATTTCTTATTAAGCAAAAAGAGTTTGGATTAAACTATAAAGGAAAATGTCGAAATTTTTTAAATTGCTATGATTTTCAGGAACACAGGAGCAGATGAGATGTGTAATTTCTACATGATGTTTTACTGGGACGCAACAGCACCGGATCCATTTCCGTACGGAGCCGTTTGTGGAATGCAAGAAGAACAGGCTGTTGTCAATAAAGAGTATCCCATTGATGGTGTTACACTGTTACCTCCGCATCCGGATTGGGAACATAAAGCGCATCAAAGTGGAAAACCATTTGGTAAAGTTTATGTTGTCCTTAAGTATTTTTACCTTTTCTACGTGGTTTGCCGGATTCAGGGCGCCAGAGAGTTTTTGTTGCGCGTAGCTTGGACGATGATTTTGGCGTGAAGACAGACGATGCTGATGCTGGCTGTGCCTGTCGGAGACTCTGGGCAAACACAATGAAACATACACTGAAAATTTCAGCAAAATCACGTACTTTTATACTCATCACATCGGGAGGAGAAAATCATTGGGGGAGATCTTGCTGCACTTCGTTTCTATGTCTTTCTGCCTCGTTCCTGCGCGCCTTCATTTGCGTTCCATACTTCTTCTGTTTTGTGAACTCAGGATGTGAATATTCTGTTAAGCAAAAAATGATGTTGGATAGTGGGACCTTAAATGGTTTACAGATTTTGACATCACTGTCGCGAACGGAGCCTCTTTTGCAAGACATAGGGACCGGGAAACAATCGAATTTTCGTTTTTACTATTTTCGGATTTTTTGAAATATAACTTATTAGCTGTTATACTGCTAGGACCGGTGTTCGATATCGAGCAGTGAAAGCTTTTATATCCGTTTGTGTGCAATCGCACATGAACTGTTATG